AAAGTGCCTCTGCTGGCATTCAAAGTACTTGATATTCTCTCCTCTTGTTTCTTGCTTTCCTCCAGCCACTCCGATCACTGACACTCACTGGCTTCTGTGCACAGGGGGCCCCCACGTGCTGCTATCTTGTCTCCAACACCCCTTCTCACCGCCTTGTTTCTGGGTCATCATCCTTTGAGAACACCCCAGCTCTTACTGGAACACCATCTCCAACAAGAAGCTGCCTTCTTCTTCTTTTAATATTTATTTTTATTGGAAAGGCAGATATACAGAGAGGAGGAGAGACAGAGAGGAAGACTTTCTGTCTGTTGGTTCACTCCCCAAGTGACCTCAATGGTTGGAACTGAGCCGATCCAAAGCCAGGAGCCAGGAACTTCTGGATCTCCCATGTGGGTGCAGGGTCACAAAGTTTCGGGCCGCCTTGACTGCTTTCCCAGGCCACAGGAAGGGAGCTGGATGGGAAGTGGGGCTCCTGGGATTAGAATTGGTGCCCATATGGGATCCAGGCGCCGCATTGAAGGTGAGGACTTTAACTGCTATGCTATCATGCTGGGCCCTACAAGAAGCCTTCTAACATGCTTCAGAATTACCCTTGTCGCTTTGAGTGCTGCTCTGCCACTAATCTGTTCAGCTCCCCCACCTCGCACGTGAGGGCCTGGAGGATGTGGGGGAATGATGTTTTGATTTCTCTTTTTCAAGCCTCACAGTCTGTCAGGGTTTCCTCTGGGTGAATGTGGGTCCCATGTCATGGAAGTAGCATGGAATCTGAAATTAGAAGACTTGAACTCCGGTTTGCAAATTGAGTGACCTTGGGTTGACAATATGACTTGCTGGAAATGCTACGGAGACTGAACCTTCTAACCCAGTGTAAGTTTTTGTGTCATTGCTTAGACAACTCACACCAGCTCCGGGGGATCTGAGCTGGCCACTGGGGGGCATTCTCAGCTGGTCTCCAGCTGGGCTTGATTAGGGCCTGGGGCCTTTCCTACCAGTCTTGACCTAGCGTGCAATGAGTGATCTCATACAACTGGATGGTTGAATAGGCTTGCATCTTAGTTCCATCTTATTGCCTGTCAGGTAGCAAGCCACTAGTTTTCTTTGATCTGCAATGAAGGCTGGAATCATAGAAGGTCTTTGCTTTAATACCTCCTTTTTCCAGCTTAATTTATTTTAAAAAAGATTTATTCATTTTTTTTAAAGATTTATTTTTATTATTTTTTATTGGAAAGGTGGATATACAGAGAGGAGAGACAGAGAGGAAGATCTTCCGTCCGATGATTCACTCCCCAAGTGAGCGCAACGGCCCATGCTATGCTGGTCCGAAGCCAGGAGCCTCTTCCGGGTATCCCACACGGGTGCAGGGTCACAAAGCTTTGGGCCGTCCTCGACTGCTTTCCCAGGCCACAGGCAAGGAGCTGGAAGGGAAGCAGGGCTGCCGGGATAGAACCGGTGCCCATATGGGATCCCGGGCGTGCAAGGCGAGGACCTTAACCACTGCGCCACTGCGCCGGGCCCGATTTATTCATTTTTTGAAAGGCAGAGAAACAGTAAAGAGTGAGAAAGTGAGCAAGAGAGATCTTCTATCCTCTGGTTCACACCCCAAATGGAAGCAACAGCTGGGAAGCTGAAGCCAGAGCCAGGAGCTTCTTGTGGGACTCCCCTGTGGGTGCAGGGGCCAAGCTCATCGGACCATCCTCCACTGATGTCCCAGGTGCATTAGCAGGGAGCTGGAATGGAAGTGGAGCAGCTGGGAGATGTGGAAAGCTGCTTGGAATTATGACAGGTGGATGGAGATAGCAGGTGCAGGCTGCTTCATGGTAGCTGCTGGGTAAGATGGCAGGTAGATATGGGCTGTCTGTTCATAAGGGTTGGGAAGCAAAGGCCTCTAGCTCCTCCCCACACTTTTAGAAAAGATTTTTAAATTAAAAAAAATATTTTTAATTCCCTGACTGGACAAATGAGAGCGCTCTCTGTGGCAGCCCAGAGCTGCCTGCCAAGATGAGCGAGGGTTTGTCTATGCAGCATCTGGATGTGGGAGTGAGGTAATTTAGGAAGGTGGGGAGGGAAGATCGTTCACCCTGGAGGAGTTCCCTTGCAGAGAAGGAAGATTACCAGATGTGCTTATTCTGCCTTGGGAGGGAGGCGAGGTGGGACTTGTTCATTTTGTGTTTGAAGGCAGTGGTGTGGGAGCGATAGGGAAGAAGCAACGGGAGACACTCCTATGAGACCCTGGTGAATTCTTCAGGCACCTGCCCTGGACATCTGAGGCCCGGGGACATTTATTCATGCCACAAGTGTTTATGGAACGTTTATGTGACCTGCGAGTTGCTTCTAGATTCAAGGGTACAACCACAAGCAAAACAAGCACCTGGAATTGTCTCTGTGGAGATCAGAGCCTCAGGGCACAGAGGGGCCCTGAGAGCATGAGGGCACAGACTTACGTGAAAGTGGGCACCTTGGAAAAACAGCTCAGCATGGATGGAGTCAGGAAGCCTCTCTTGCAGCCCCTGGAGTCTGAGAAATGAGCAGCAATGGAGATAGTGTGGCTGGGAGAGCAGCATTTCAGGGGAAGGGCTCAGCAGGTGCCAAGCCCCAGTGCAGGGTGAGTGCAGCATCCAAGCAGGGCAGAGTGAGCCAGGAAGAACAGGGAGGAAGGATGGGCCTGGCAGCAGGGCCCATCTGCTCAGTCTTTTGGGCGGTGAGGCTTGTTCTGCTCTCACACTGGGAGCAATGCAGTGATGTGACTACTGGCTACTCTGGGGGGAGAAAGTAGCCAAAGTGCCACATGATGCAGATTGAGAAGTAAAACAAAGCAAAACAAACAACAAACCATTCCCTTGGAGTCGGCACTCACATGGGAGACACAGATGGAGTTCTCAGTTCTTGTCTTTGTACTCCTAGCCTGGCTCAGGCTTCTGCGGCCATCCTGGGAGAGTGAACCAGCAGATAGATGTCTGCCTTTCTAAGAAATAAACTCAAATAAAATAAACAAACAGCCATTCCTTTCCTTTCCCACATGGGTTAATAAAAATACTGGGATTTCCCCCCAGCCTGAGGGGTGTGGTATTGGTGTGTGAGTGGGGGTTGTGGTCTGGTTTCTGGAAAGGGAAGGACCTCCCCTAGTAAGACCAGGTAGCTGTGACCTTGGCCCTGGGCTGGGTTTTCTAGTGGCAGCGGTTGAGCCAAGGGAAGGGCTGTGTGGAGAGGATGAAATGGAGCTTCTCCATGCCAGGGGTTCCTGTAAGTCCTTCCACTGCTCGCTGGAACCTCTGAAGGCCATTTTGACCTACAGTTTCTGGTAGCAGTTGGACATCTCATTTTTTCTTGGCCACCTGGTGAGCAGTTCTTCCTTTCTGTGCTCTCTTAGACCTACCTGGCTGAGTGCTTAAGACATGAACTTTGCTGACTTGGAAGGTCTGAGCTGGAGCCTCAGTGGTCAGCCATCTAGAATTTCCCAGGGTGTGGTTCTTGGAGCCCTGTGTAGTCATTGTTTCTGGGTGATGGCTGCTTCAGACCTGCTGAGTCAGAATTTGCCATTTTTGGGATAGAGGTAATGGCAAGACTTGTTAGGATGTCAACATTAACATTATTTATTTGCGAGAGAGAGAGAGAGAGAGAGAGAGAGAAACTGCCACCTGCTGGCTTGCTCCTCAGATGCCCACATGGCTGGAGTGGAGCTGGGTGGCAACTAAGACTTTCCTCTGGGACTCTTACCTGAGTGGCAGCAGCCCAGTTACTCAGGCCACCACTGCGACCTCCCAGGATGTTCACTGGCAGGAAGCAAACCCAGGACCTCTGATGTGGGATGCAGGCATCTAAGCCACAAGGCTGAGAGCACGCTCTGGATTCAGCATTTTAGGCTAAGTGTTCCAGGGAATTCTTGTAATATGACATCAGTTTCCTGTGGGTGTTGTCATAAATTCCACAAAGTGATGGTTAAAAACAACAAGAGAGATGTTCTTTTGCAGGTCAGAAGGCCCTGCTCTGTTTCCCTGAGTCACACTACTTCCTGCTGTCGGCTCCCGAGCCTTCCTCCTACAAGAACACTTTGGCCAGGATAATCTCAAGATTGTCAGTTGTACCTACAAAAATCTTTTCCCAGATGAATTACCATCCATGGTTTCTAAGGATTAGATCCTGGTATCTTTGAGAGACCATCTTCCAGCTTTGCATGCACACCAAAGAGAAAAAAAACCATTGATGTGACCATCTGCATCCTTGGGGGGTTGACAAAGCCCTGAGGGCTGGAACTCAGGGAGCTGCAACTCATCCAAGGTCACACAGTCTGTAAGTCACTTCTGGGATGAGAACCAAAGCCCCCCGCATTGCCCCAGGCTTTTCTTCCAGTTGCTGGCTCCCAGGTGCCATGGCAAGCTGGTGGTTCCTGGGTGTGTACAATTACATGCCCAATCTCATCACTCTTTCACAGAACCCGGAGAAGGAGGCTTTCCTATCATCTGCCACTTTGCATTTGAACAAAAAGGGGAAAAGGATTAAGGAACAGCTAGGATGGGAGGCCTGGTAGGCCAAAGCACAGACTTGGATTCGTTGCTGAGCAACTCTTCCCTGCAACGTGATTTACTGTGAATCCACCCAGTGTGTCACCCTTCTCTGAGACTGTGTCTTCCCCACCCCTGGAAATAAGGGGGCCAAGCTTCCCTGCTTGGAAGAGTTGCTTCAAATCAGGCCACCAGCCTTCATGTCTCTGGGGCTGATGCCAGCCAAGTAGGACTTACTGAGAGGAGGTGGTTGGGTTCCTAATGGACTCCTTGGGCTGATGACCCAAGTTATCTATGAAAGCCAGATGGAGGAGGTGGGGCAGGGGCCTGTGCACCTTGGGTACATATTTGTTTTTGACTGTGACTCACGTCCCTCTGGAGCAGGCCCTGGGGTGAGAATGTTTACCAGCTCCACCTCCATCCACGTTGCCTTATATCTCCCCTCCCAGTGGGACAGGTGTCTGAGAGTGCAGCAGTCTGCCTGGTGTATCCAGCTTGCGGAGCCCTCAGCCATGGCAGCCCTGGCAGCTGGTGTATCCAAGCGGCGGGCTGTTGCCCAAGGTCTTGGCTCCAGCCAGAATGCCGTGAAGTACCTGGATCAGGACTTTGAGACCCTGAGGCAACAGTGTCTGGCCTCAGGGGTCCTATTTAAGGACCCAGAGTTCCCAGCCTGTCCGTCAGCTTTGGGATACAAGGAACTGGGCCCGCACTCCCCCCAAACCCAAGGAATCATCTGGAAACGGCCCACGGTAAGGGGGTGGCCCGTGCTGAGTGTTAGGCAGCACGGAGGGCCTCTGGGGTCTGGTCCAAGGGATATGAGGAAGGTGTCATGACTATGCATCTCAGGTTCCTGAACCCCACATCTCAAATCTCTCCGTTTCTGAAGCTTTTGAAGTTCTTTTTAGAGGCAAAGAGGACTGGAGCAAGGGACTGACTTGGGCTCTGGAACCAGAAACAGGCTAGATTTGAAGGGACAGATAACCTGTTTTCTCATCTGTGATGGTGTGCCATTAGCATATGGCTTTTCTGGGAGATAAGTCAGAGAGAAATCTGATTATGGTGCCTGGCAAACACAGAATTAGGTGGTAGGTGTTGCCGATGCCCCTGGAGCTAGAGCACAGGGGGCAAACCAAACCAGGACTAAATGTGGTGCAGGGTTGCTTCAGGTCATGCCTTGTCACTGCTCGGCCGGGGCTGGGGAGTGAAGGTGGGTGCAAGCCATGGCTCTGTGGATGCAGGTGCAAGTCAGGGGCATTTACTGAGTACCCAAAGCTCAAAATCAGGAAAGGGAGAGTTGTGCTGCCCAAATCCAGGTCTGCAGCTTGCCCCATGTGGCCCTTGTCAGAGACCAGAATCCCCTTCATTGAGAGTGGTCATGGGAATTGGAGCCACCAGTGTGAGGTCTCTGCTCAGTGTCAGCTGACACTGAACTGAATCTCTTGAGGAAGGGTTGCCCAGTGAACATGGTCAATGATCTTGGTCAGCACAGTTGGGAAACCAGACCATGCTTCCTCTCTGCTTGGCAGTGGTTGAAAGGGAAGATAAGGAAAGAACAGTCCTTTAAAAATGGCCAAAACCGTTGTTCTGCTCCAGCGCTCTCTGCTTCTTATGTCCTCATTCTGTTTGTTTAGCACACGATGTCTGCCCTGGGAATAAGTTAGTCCTTCATCACGCTGCCCACCTGCTCACCCTGGCCCAACTCCCCAGTGTCCCCTGAACCCTGCCAGTTACCCTGAGATGATGACAACAGCCAAGAGGGCAAGCACAGCCTTAGACTAGAGCTTCGGGAGAGCTGGTGGCCATATTCCATTTGAACCCTTGCTTTGGGCCAGACACAAGCGATGCCCTGTTTGGGAAGGAGTTCAGGTGGCCAGCGGGGAAGCGAGGAGTGAGCCGTGGTCTCAGCTGTGATGGGAATTGTGGGAGGACTGGCACCAATGGCAGAACAAAGGAAGTGCTTGTGAGAGCATAAGATGGTCTATTGTAGGGACGTGGGATGTTTGGTTGAATATCCCTAATGCAAAAATTTGAAACTCTAAATCTAAAAATTTTGGGGTGTACACATGAGGCCACAAGTGGCAAATTACCCATTGGATTTCATGTGATGGGTTGCATGCACTAAAAATATCATACCAGCTATTCTTTAGGCTATGTATATGAGATACGTACACAGATATTTGAGTTGTATTCCTAGGATATCTTGCTCTGTGTATATAAATATCCAAGACTCTTCTGGCCCTGAACATGTTGGGTAAGGCCTGTACCACCAATTGCTGACAAAGCTTAGGAGAGAAGGGGAGTCTCAAAGTGGAATTGGAATCCAAGTGCTCGAGAAGTTTGGGGAAGGGATGAGAAAGAAACGAGGAGGGGACTGTATTTTGTAGGCAAAGCTCTGCATCAGTTAACCTTTGTCTAATTTTTTTTCTTAAAAAAATTTTTTTTTCACATTACAAAATTTAATGAACACACAATATATTTTTTTTTTACTATAGATTTATGGGGGTAGGGTCTGATTATTCAATATAGATACACACCATGTAATGCTCAAATCAGGGTAATTGGTATTCCATTTTCAAATGATTATCATTTCTTTGTAAAGGGAGCCCCTGGATACTCTTTTCTTGGTTATTTTAAAATACCTAGAACATAATTCTAGGTTGAAATTATCTTAATTATCTTGCTGTGCCATAGAATACTAGCTAATTCATTCTAATTATATTTTGGATTTGGATTTTAAGTCTTTTTTTTTTTTTTTTAGAGAGATAGAGATCTCACTTCCCAAATGCTTGCAACAGCTAGGGCTGAGAAAGGCTGAAGCCAGGAGCCTGGGATTCATTCTGGGTGTCCCAAGTATGCGGCACGAGCCCAAGTACTTAAGCCATCAACTGGTGCCTCCCAGGGTTCCTGTTTGCGGGAAGCTGGAATTGGAAGCAGAGCCGGGACTCACACTCAGGCACTCTGCTGTGGGCTGCAGGTGTCACTCGGCAACTGCTCTGGGCTGAATCCTGCTTTTCTGATAGATGTGCGTCAACTCTCCTGCAAGGTCTTTCAGCCATAATTGCTGTTGGGAAATGACTTCCACTTTCTCTGTGGAAGCCATTTAATTCCATGTGTAAGCACTCTGCTAGGGAACTCGGGTATCCCAAGGGGCATCTGCAGCGTCAGGGTCTCCAGCTGTCCTTTGGTGGCTGTTCCCTAAGCCCAGCTCTCCCATACCTCCCCTGAAATCCTCAGAGCCTTCCCCTCCTCACCACAGTGACTTGTGTCTCTCTGGTCTCGCTATCCTTATGCACATAAAACTCTCAGACTGCGTCAGCAGAAGCTTCAAAATCCAGGACCTGAGTTGGTGAACCTTGAGAAGTGGACCTGAAGGACTCCTGTGGGCATTTTTAGGTGTGTGTGTGTGTGTGGAATGAACAAATGTATGTCCAATATTGACCTCTCCTTTCCCAGCCACCTGTGAGGAATAATCATGTGGCTTCTTCAGGCCAGGATCCTGCTCAGGTCCTGAAGACCCAAGTGAGACTGTGTCTCCCAAGATCACACAGGCTGTTGGGCAGGTTCCTGGGTCCATGAACATCCTCAGTCTGCCTCTACCAGGATGTGCTGGACCCTGGGGAAAGCAGCCTGCTCCTAAATGCTTCATTTTTCTCTCCAAGAAGTCTTTTCGGAGTTTGGGGGCAGGGGAGGTCCTGTGAGCTGATTGGAGTGTCCAGGTGTATAGTGTGTTTCAAGCTCTCTTGCTGAATTTACTTCCTTATTTTTAACTTGTGGTAAAGTCCACGCAGCATAGGGGTTGCCACTTTAGGGGTCCCACTTTTAGGGGTCCTGTTTAGTGGCATCAATGCCATTTCTACTGTTGTGCAATCATTGCCATCCCTGCATCTCCAGAATGCTTGTCACCTTGCAAAATTGACACTTGAGATCCATCAGATGGCAGTGCTCTGTTCTTTCTCACCCCAGTCTCCTGAAGCCACCATTCTGCTTCCATTTCTGACTGTGAGCTTGGCCAAGCTGGGTATCTCACGTAAGTAGATCATATGTTTGTCCTGTTGTGACCAGCTTCATTCATTTATCCTAATATCCCCAAGTTTCATTCATATTGCAGCACATGCTGGAACCTTCTTGCCACCCTACCTTCACCCTCAAGTAAATTTATTTACTTCTTTGAAAAATAGAGAGAGAGAGAGTCTTCTCTCATCCTTTGATGGAGATGTGGGTTGCTTCCATCTTTTGGCTGCTCTGCATTATGCAACTAAGAATGCAGGTGTGCAAATATCTCTGAGATCTATTCTTTTGTTAGATACCCAGAAGTGGAATTGCTGGATCATGGGCAATGCTATTTTCAGGTTTTTGAGAAATGGCCACACTGTTTTACATCGTGGCTACATAACCTTACATTCCCACCAACAGTATACAGTATTCCAGTTTTCCCGCTTGCTTGCTGCCATTTGTTCCTTACGTCTTCTTGATAGTGGATGTCCTCGTGGTTGTGAGATATATCTCATTGTGCCTTTGATTTGCATTTTCCTAATGATTCTTGATGTTGACCATCTTTTCATGTGCTTACTGAGCATTGATCCATTTCTAGATCTTCTTTGGAGAAATGTCTATTCAAATCCGTTGTCAGTTTTTGTATCAGGAGGCTTTTTTTCCTCCTTTCACTTGCTTTTATTCAGCTTTTAAGTATTATTTCTGATTTCTTGGGGGAGAACTCGATGTAAGCTGTCCAGAAACTTCCCCTGAAATGTTGGTTTTTGCCTGCCTTTGGGGAGAAGGAGCTGGGATCTACATTATATGTTACGTATTATATGTTGTAGGTAATTACATATTCTGTGCCATGTATTATGCTTTTGCCCTCTCCTTATAAGTAAAGATGGGCATGTAGATGTTTTCTGAACTTGTAAACTTGGACCTAATATTTCTGCTGGGTGGATCTGTGTGGTCTGAAGCTGCTAAGCAAAGGGTTTGCTTGGGCTCCTGTCCTAAGGGTTGGATGACAAGTTTGCCCAGATACAGATCTCAAGGTCAAGCTGGAGTTCTCAGGATGAGCTCTTGGTTACTCACACTCTTAAGGCACTTGTTCCCACTGCTTTTGTGCAAGGACGCTAATCTCATAAGCACAATGACTCGCTGTGCAGGATCAGGGAGTGCTCCTGGCAGGAGCTTCTCTCATCCTTTTCTCCTGGCTTTCCCGTGCACTGGGTCAGTGCCCTTGAGTTTTGAGAAATAGCCGGTGTGAACAGAACCTGGCATGGACCAGTCAATGATGTTCTTTTCTGAAGTATCTACTTTTGGCAATTAAGTAGTTTATTGATCTTATGGAGAGATACAGAGAGGTAAGAGTAAGACCATGTCAGTTGCATAACAAGGAGCTCAATGAAGAGAAACAGTGGGTGGCCAGCATCAGGAGGAGGGAGAAGAAGCGTGTGTCTGGGACTTCGATTCTTTGTCCTGGTGCTCCCTCGTGTAGTTGTGAACCTGGAGTTTTCAATCCAGCCATGATTTATTACCTGCTGGTGCTCAGGGGGATGCTGTGCCCTCAGCTTTCTGAGGGAGGCGAATGGACAAGTGGACAGCTGGCCGGCAGCAGAGCAGTTAGGAGCAAGGACTTGGGTGTCAGGTGCAAGAGGTTGTGGTTCTCTTCCTGCCTCTGCTAGCAGGATAACTCTGGGGAAGTTATAAATCTCCCTGAGACTCAGTTTTCTCATTGATGTAATGGACACAATAGTGTTGAGTTTTGGGGAGATTTGAATGAGATAATGGATAAATGCTTCCTACAATGAGGTATCTCCAGCGTTTGTTACCAGACAGAATGTCCAGAGGGTGAAATTCACACATGTCAACTGGATAGCATGTGCGGGAGCTCAGGTGGAGAAGCAGTTGAACATGTGTAAGGAAACTAGTTACGGGCAAGCTGGAGTTGGGATAGGGGAGGGTCTTTGGCAGGGACCACGGAGAGGACCCAGGCGTGAGCAGAGGCTGTGGAAGCACACTCAGGTGGCAGGAGTCTATTGTCACTAGAGGTGAGAGAACAGTGTGGGCAATGTGGCCAAGCTAGAGCCATCTAGTGGGCCAGGTTGTGCTGGGTTGCGTAATATAGTTGAAATGGATGTGATGTTGACGAAGATGGAAGACCCCCGTGGGTCTCCTTGAGAACACCCTTGGAAGGTCAGACCAGGACTTTTGGCCAGACCAGGACTATGGTAATGTCCTGGTGGGGAGGGCAGGTTTCCACGTAGCCAACAGCCCTTAGAAGTACGGTCACACATCACTCCATGCCTTAGACTCTGCTGCCACTTGGGGTGCACATTAACAGGAAGCTGGATTCAGAAGCAGCACTGGGACTTTGTCCAGGCCCTACATTGTGGGATGTGCCAAGCATCCTGCCCTGAATCCTACCTGGCAGCCTTGCATCATTACGTCAGCTTGGACACTTCTCATTTCTCTTTGAGGGTGTCTACATTCCGTTGCTATGCAGTAGCCCTTTGCCTCTGACTGTGTTACAAATGTCAGTCCTGGCTTCCCACATACTTCCATCTTGTGTTCGTGTCACTCTGCTCCCTTCTTCCCCCTGTTTGCAGTGCTACAGAGTGCTGTGGGTAGAGTGGGCAACAGAATAAACCCTAACCAGGAAATGAAAATGGAAAGATCTAAAGTGTACTTCCTTGTGCCCGGGCAGAGCTGGCCTGCAGGCAGGTGAGGGCTGAGGTGGGGAAGTGGTGGAAGTGTAGGTCAGCTTGGGGATGGTATTTCTGCCAGTGGCACTTCCTGACACCTCAGTGTTTCCACCTGCACAAGGGATCATTATCACTTAGTCAGGTACTTAACAAGTATCCGCAGGGTGCAAGGCACTTTGCTAAATGTCGCTCCAATTCTCTCTGTGTAAATAGGGGTGGTGTCAGGATGGGTGAGGGCCCATGTCATTCATCTTGTTATCTCAGCTGGTGCCTTTCTCCTCCCTCACACCCAGACAACACATACAACACACAGTGCAATCAAAATGCTGTTCCCAGCAGCGACTCTGGGCTCCAGCTCCCAACCTGGTCCCCCTGAGCCATGGGGGCTCTGGGAAGGTGTCCTCTTTCCTCTGGGCTGAGGAGCCTGTGGCACTCATGGTATCTGTGTAGTAGATGATCCTCCAGGTTCACCTGCTTCTAGTTCTGTGACTGATGTGGCCACCATGACAGGCGCCTGGTGACTGTGTTCTTTCCAAATCGCTTCCAGGAGTTGTGTCCCAGCCCCCAGTTCATCGTGGGCGGAGCCACACGTACAGATATCTGCCAGGGTGGTCTGGGTGAGTAGCTGGGGACAGCCCTGTTTGTTCTGGGGGAGGGTTGGGTGTGTGTTTGTCATGAGCAAGATCAGATTAAGTTGGACATTACCAGTCACATTATGTACATGATTTGTCCATACGACTTTGTATTCTCTGGACTGCATGTGTTACTCTGGGTCTGAAAGCTGGCACTGTCTTTTGGTTTCCTCTAATAGGAGATTTTTTTCCATCAGCTCATTCAACCCCCTTCATGCTAGGACTAACAAGATAGATTTACATGCATTTAGCAGAGTGCTATAATGTAGCATGTTTTTGTAATGGTTATCTTTAAGCAGACATAATTTACCTCCTGGAATGACCAAGTCTCTGTAATTGTGGGCCATCATCATAGAGGCTTTCATAATGAGTAAGGGCAGAAGAATCTTATTTTTCTAGCCAAACATTTTTTGTAGGCTTGGGATCCCAGAATCAAGAATCACCATTTTCTAACCCATCCTAGCTCTTCCAGTTCAGGTGTGATTAAACTTAAGGAAATAATCTCATTTTGCTTGGCAAGTTTCAGCCCTGATGGCTGTAAAGCAAGACTCTCCTGGCTAGCAGGTGAACGTGTAGGTAACTGTAAGCCTCACAGTTGGGCATCCCTGAGTGGAGTTAGACCATAATTCAGAGTTGATGGGACAGCACGATCGCGGGTGGGATTTGCTGGGTATCCCAATCACTGTCCAACAACAGCTGCAAAATGGAGAATTGCAAATGAAGGCGAGGAGAGATAAATCTGCCCGGTGAAAATGAGCGAAACACACACAAACCTCTGCACCCACAGCGATTCTGCAACCTCCGTTGCTGCTTTTTTTTAGGGAGATTTTTTTCCCCCCTTCCTTCCTTGTCCTCCTTGTTCCAGCTAGGAAAACATTTTCTCTCCAGCCTGCTGGAAACTGACAATGTTGAAAATTGCCGAGCCTTTTCTTATAAATGCTTTCAATGTTCTTTCCTTTAATGAGCTCAGCAAATAGGCCTTGGCCAGCTTGATGGCAGAGAGTCGGAAAGCAGCAGGAACAATCGGGGTGCCACCAGCATGTGCCCTGTTCCCTGAAAACTCGCAGCCTGGGTCCCAGGCTTTTTGAGAAGGCATACACAGTGCTGTGTTCTGACCTTTTGTTGTTCTGGATAAGCACGTGCTGTTTTTTCACTGCAAGCTAAATGTTTAGCCTAATTGAGCCTGGCTCTCAGGAAAATGCACCTTTGGAGGTAGGTTTTTAACAGTTCCTGGTGAAAGATGTTTAACTTTGGGGGAAAACATTTAATAAGTGCCTCCATATTGATTGGCTTGGATAGATTTTCCTTTGAATAGTTTTAAGCAAAGAGTAGAGAAGGTTTCTGAAGAAAGGGGGTCCCTGGGTTACCATGAAGAGAATATACAGCTGATGGAGGCTTGAAGTGCAGGAAGCACACCCAGTGCCCTCTCAGAATCCAGCTCTCATCAAGACAAGGGAGCAAGTGCTGTGATGGTGTCTGCCCTGGGTGAGCCCGGCTGCTGTGGTGGTGGGCTCTTTAAAAGTTTGTTTTATTTTATGATTTATGAGGGAGGGAGGGAGGAAAAAAGGGAAGGAGGGAGAAAGAAAAAGAAAAAGGGAGACAGAGAAAGAAAGTCTGCTTCATCCACAGCTTCCCTCTTCAAATGCCTGCAATTACTGGAGCTGGGACTGGGGCCAGGAACTCGGTCAAGGTCTTCTGTGGGCATGGCAGGGAATCAGTTATGCAAACCATCACTGCCACCTCCCTGGGTGTGCATTAGCAGGAAGCTGAAATCGGGAGCTGAAGCCAGGCACTCTAGTGTGGGCTGCAGGTGACTTAACCACAAGGCCCAACACTCATCCAGTGGGGGAGGTGGCTTATACTGAGCAGATGGAAAGGGCCATTGAGTTCAACCTCCTGAAAGGGGCCAGGTGCTTGGGATCAGTTTTTTGTGTTTTGTTTTAAAGATCTATTTATTTTTATTGGAAAGGCAGATTTACAGAGGCAAGGAGAAACAGAGAAATATCTTCCATCTGCTGGTTTGTTCCCCCAATGGCCTATCTGAAACCAGGAGCCAGAGGCCTCTTCTGTGTTTTCCACACAGGTGCAGGGTCCCAAGGCTTTGAGCTGTTGTCTGCTACTTTCCTAGGCCACAGAGAGCTGGATGGGATGTGGAGTACTGGGGACACAAATCAGCATCCATATGGCATGTTGGCACTTGCAGGTGGGGGATTAGCAAATTGAGCCGTCGCACCTGCCCCTTGGGACCAGTTCTGTGGTTCTGGAAGCAGATTGAGTCTCACTAAGCAGAAAAGTGGTCTCACAGGCCCGAGGCTGCAACTGATGGTGAGGATGGGGAGCCAGTGGCACCCCACAGCAAACCTGTGTGGCCTGGGAGAGGTGAGCACGGGTCTGGCCCTGAGGCAGAGCTCAATTGTGGGGAGATTTAACAGAGTCCAGCCCTGGGCAGTGGGTCTACTCTCTGTTTTTCTAATGTTTGGTTTATGTCATGAAAATGTCTCTTTCATAATTATTTTCATACCACTGAGAGGTGGGCCTTGAAAGGCCTTGAAAGCATTGCTCACTGCCTTGCAACCACCTAGAAAAATCAGTTCAGTGCTTTCTTATGCAAATCCAAGCAAATAGAAATACATATTCTAATTTGTCTTCCTCTTGTACTGAGACAGCACTGTGTTGACACCTTTGCCTTTTTTTTTTTTTCTGCTGTTAATTCACTGAATAAACTATCTTGGAGATCTTTCCGTCAGTCTATAGAAAGCCTTTTCTTTTTTATCCACTCTGTGTATTGTACAGAGGCAGCTCAGCTAATCTGTCCTGTCTCCTGTCACTGGACGCCGGATTTATTCTCTCTGCTTTGAGGAAGAGCATCGCACCTAATCTCTCCGTTCCCACATCATGGCCAGGGTGAAGCTGTTCATTGGCAGGTCTGATGTACAGGTAGGGTGGACTGTCCACAGTCCTGACCTCCTAATGGTCCTGGTTCATCCTTGACGTGTGCCTGATGATCCCTTGTGTCCATGCACACACTGAGCTTTCAGGCTTCCACTTGCCAGCAGCCCAGAAACTGGCTGTCGTTGGAGGCATAATTATAAGAAAATGAAGGCTGAGGAGGCTGCGGGGTTAAGGGACCTGTTGCTGCATGTAATTCTTACTGTACTGTCAGATTTCTCCTGGGGCCGCCTGGTGTTTGCAGGAGAACACAATAGTTTTGACTCTGCACAAGTAATTCTTTGAGCACCCATGGATAAAAGAGCTCTGAGATCACAGCTCTCCCTGGACTTCAGACCTCTTGCCACCTGAGAAGGCGAGTTCTTTAAAGATGCTGTCTTCTGCAACTCCAGCTTTTCTTTGCTCTACTTTCTTAGCTGAATGCACGGCCACGAGGTCCAGCAGGACCAGGTCCAGCAGGAGCTGCCCACGTACAGAGCCCCACTAGAGTGCAGACCACCTTATGTGAGGGTGGGTTACCTTGTGCGGGACCAGGCAGAATACATCTACAAGTGCCTCTTCCAGGGACACTTGTGCTGCCCTTCGCTCAGAGAGCTGTACACACTCAGCCTGTCTTTCCATTGCTCAGCCCAGGACAGCCTGCCCCTCCCTTGCATTCTGCTCCTTGGGTGGCCCAGCACCTCTTGAGGTTTCTGTGCCTGCCCTGCTCTCAGCTTCTGCTGGTCTCTGTGGGCTGGCTTTGTTCTCATCCTTTGCAGACAGGCTGCGCATGGCATGCCCACGAGAGGTCCTGGGCTTTGTCCCAGGAGCATCTACACCAGTTGTGTCTTTACACATCTCAGGAAAGGACTTTGATGTATTGCAGTAGTGTGTCTTTGCTCAAAACTTGGACCAGTTACTATAGTCAGAGGGTAAGGTATCAACTAGGTCATGAGCCCATTGTTTTTGTTTTTTAGTATTTTTATTTATTTGAAAGGTTGAGTTATACACAGAGAGAGAGAGAGGGAGAAAGAGATCTTCCATCTGTTGCTGGTTTACTACCCAAATGGCTGGGACAGGGCCAGGCTGAAGACAGGAGTCAGGAGCTTCATTTGGGTCGCCCACGTGGGTGCTGGGCCCAGGTACTTGGGGCATCCTCTGTTGCTTCCCCAGTTGTTGCATTAGCAGGGAGCTGGATCGAAGTGGAGCAGCAACTGTGGCTTTTATGCCTCAGTATTCCCAGCTGTACTGTGGGGACATAAACCCTGCTTGACAGGTAGTTGTGGTTAGTAGTCAGTTAACCCTGGTTCCCTTAGCCCTGGAAAGCGAGCACCACTGTGGATGGGCACGGCTGGTAACAAGCCCGTGAGTCTAGGCTGTGTGCTCCCTGGTACGGTCTCACACACTCTCTGTCCACTGCGCCTGGGGCTCCCCGGTTGCTTGCTGTACTTTTATCTGTTGACCTAAATTTTCTGCTTTCTTTCGTTAGTAAAACATTTAAAAGCAGTTTGTCATAGTCTACTTTTTTGGCTGCTAAAACACATTGGGTAATTTCTAAATGACAGAGTTCGTTTAGCCCAGGATTCTGGGGGCTGGCTCTGACACCTGCTGGGGGCTTTCCCTGTATCTGGGAGGCGGGGGCATGAACTGTGCTGTGGGAGCTTGTCTCTTTTGACCTGTTTGTTCTCTCTACCTCTGTGGGGTGGATGCCGTTTTCATGCTTGCTGGGTTTACTGAATAGAGTCTTATATTCTGTTTTCCTGTTTTGAAGAGAGAGTGACTAGATCATTTCACATGTCCCTAAAGGCAGACAAGGAACCAACAGCAGTGACCTAAATTCATCACCTTCCCCTGCACCTCCCCTACACTGATTTTGCTCCATGAGTCAGCATGTCCCAGAGGCTGGGGCATCCTGCTAGTCAGTAATTGGGGAATGTCGGTATCTTTAAGAGCACTTTTCCAGACACATTTAATGTGTGGCATCCTTTGAGGATTGGGATAAAGCAAATCAATTCCCTGGGATCCAGTGGTTCTTCTTAATGAGCAATCGGGGTGGG